AGGGCACAATAGACCTATTGGTCGCAGTGCATACCTCTATTAATTATCTATCTATTTAAAGTATAAAATTTGCTTGTGAAGCTGTCTTTTATTGTGCTCAATATGTTCAAAGGATATTTATTTAAACAGTAGAATATTAGGTTCCGAATTCTCAATTTTTAATGACGCTTTCTCTTCTCGAAAAAAAATGTCACCTTCTTATATGGCAACATTATCAGAAGCAACATTTTAAAGAAAGAGCACCCAATATGCATGTGAAGATTCAGAGAAAAGAACACGAAAACTTAACAGCCCTGGCGAAGGGCAGAATAAATGCAAAAATATTTCGAGAAAAGAAAACGCTATAACATGTAATTTTTCGGACTCTACCACTAAGCAATAACTACTTCCATTAGATTCAATTGTGGCCGCTTGTGCTTTGCATCTGACCATGCCACATCTTAAAGCACGGTGTTACACAGAGTCCTGGCATCCCCGGGCATTTTCCACAGCAAGTCTTCGAAAAGGTCTTAAGACCGCCTTTGTCGCAGATCCGACAACGCTTCCTGACCCGCTGTCCATTAAAATTAGGTACATCTATAGGTAGGTGCTCTGTTAACTTCAGGGATTGTGGCGCGCGAGACTTATCTGGGAAACCTTTTCGTAGCTTACTTTCTGACATGCTCAGCTCGAGGTCATTGTCATCAGCGCTGTCCAAATCAAATTTTGGATTCAATAAAGATGTGATTATTTCTTGTCGAAACGTTTGATAAGATCTCGAACGAGTGCCACTTTGCGCGTGCGTAGTGAAGAAGAGATAGGCGTTGAATAAAACCAGGTGCATGACAAAGATCATCAACCGTTTATCCCACTTCATTTCAGTACGTTCTAAAGCCAACTGGTAATCTAACAGGTACGCGCGTATTTTCGGTGCTGTTTTCAACTGCCAGTCGATCTCTTTGACTATTTTCAGCCCTCGACGCGTTTGAATGTATTTCGTGACAAGACAGTCTGAACTATAAAAATAAATATTTTTTTCTTGCCGCCGGCTTTTCCCCATCATTATGAAGTCCGCATATCTAATTTCAGACTGATATTGTTTCAGATTCTTCAGAGCCAATTCTTTGCTATTACCGAAACGTTGTATTTCCAAAAGTCCCGAGGAATAGGTACCCATCTTTCCCAGCTCCAGGCAAAGTGCATAGCTGCCATAATATTTGGATGCGAAAACAGTATGTCCTAAGCGGGTTTAAATGAGATTTATTCATAAATGAAACAGAACAAGAAAATTCACTATTACCTTTATGTAATTTCTCGCTGAGCAGCTCCATCGCAATAGACAGACGTTGAACAAGAAACGATTTTGAATTATGGGAGTCCGTTTTTCTTTGTGGATTTTCTAAATCGACCAATATTTTGAGTACTAAACCGGATTGTTCAGTTAAGAGATGCAGCATAACCGCATTGCTGCGAAACTTCTGACTCATATCATTCGCCCAATGTAGCCTGCCTTTCCAATACATAATTGGCTCATTCAAGACTATTCTTCGGCCGCAGTTGTACACAGATTCCATGCGTTCATTGAAGAATTTCAAAATAGGCTTCAAATCAACAAATTTTTCCTCACTTTGATCGTCCGTTTTAGTGCTCTTCTCTTCAGGCAGCAAACTCTCGAAACTTAAAAATTTTAGTATTTGCAAAAAGCGGTCCAAACTCAGTTTTCTAGAGTAACCCCCGAAACCATGATGTGCCTCACATTCCCAATATTCCGCTAATGTCGTAAGCTGTGATGAACCCATTTGTAGGCAGATGCCGTAAAAAATGCTCATTTCTTTTGAAGTAAACTCCTCGAAGTGGGTTGTGCTATGAAAGGCTTCTGTGGCACGTTTATTGCAACATTTAGACCAACTTTTGAAAAATCCATCACCACCCAACAATTTGTAAAAATAGTACGTAGAAAAGCTAGATTTTGGAGCGCCTTCGAGAATTCCTTTGTAGTTTTCGTTTATAAACACCTTTCGTTGGCCATCCAAATTGTTTGACCATTCTGGAGCGTACATATCCATGTCTCCTTCGCCTGTCGAACAAAATTGTGCAAAACAATAAACAAATTTTTTGCATTATGACCTTTAAATCTGATTAAAATATCTGCTGAAGAAGGTAGTAGAAGGTGGAGCTATATTTTTAAATTGGTGGAAAAAATGTTCCTGATACGTTTTTATTTTGTAATTTTAATTTTCTATTGCCTACCTTGAGATTATGGATGACGAAACATAACTTTAAAATGGTAGAACATACTGCCTTCTCAAGTCTATAAAACCGACTAAAAACTTCACTTATTTGCCCTGCGATTATCAGCATCTCTCTTCTGTAGGTAGATCTGTTTGCTATTTGTTTCTATTAGAAGCAGAATGAAACATTTAGGGAGTTCATAAGGTGTTTAGATATTTAGTAGAAATTTGTATCTAATTTTGTCGCATGTCATACACAGTGGCTCTACAATTGTTGACAAATGTATACATTTACATAGAAATTGGATAGTGGCATCCATAGAACATATTTGCTGTAAACCAGTGTAATTAACAATAAATAATAAAAATTAAATAATTAAGAATTTCGTCAACTAGTAACATTCCCAGAGCCTTTGGAGAAAATCTATCGTCGCGCTTTGCGTTCCAAACTTCAATCTCGATTTCCCAAAACCTGGTGACAAAATCTAGAAATATTAAATAGGTGCCCCTTATGCCAGAAGCATGAATGTGCAAATTTACCAATTTTGAGTTTTTGGATTGACTTGATTAACCTTTGGATGTTCCATGTTATACCAAAACCCAGAATACCACATACCCTTTAAATAATTTCTGAGTGCTCACAATTTATAAGTCTAAAATGAGGCTTTCTTTCGCTATAAATATGATTCTGAGGCAAGTCAACCGGGCTCACTCAATTCGGACTCTATATTAATAATCATAGTTATAAAGAATATTTAATTTTAACACTTAGAAAAGCGTTATATATCAGACTCTAATATGACTCCTAACTTCGACTAAAATAAATAAATATTGGTCTGCGTGCCCTTCTAAAATACGGCTTTCGCACGCCACCCCAATCACGTAGTTCGCTCTCATTCGTAATTCGCACTCCAATTACCCCTCGAATTACGTAATTCGCCAAACAAAATCTTGATACCGAATTACCGAATTTGGTGGTAATTTGAGTACTAAAAGTAAAGTTTATACGTACATGTGTACATCACCAATTTATTACGGCAGTTTATAAATTTTATAGCGAAGAAAAAATAAAACATAGAGACCGAAAACTGTCAAATGGAATTTAAGATTGTGTTTGTTGGAATGGGGTACTTCACGATCACAATTAGGGAAGCAAACAAAGTAATTCAGGGTGCCGAGGAAAAATCGTATAAGGGAGGTACGCTCTTTTCCGACTCTTTTTTTTTTTGAGCTCATAATGAGGGTTAGAACTCAGAATTCTAAGACTTTTCTGACTCTAAAATGAGTCCGAATGTTTATAGGGCATACATACTTATGCATGCATACACTACATATTATACATAGATGGGCAATTAATTGCAATCATATTTTACTTACATTCTATTAACTCAAATTCTTCCTCAAAATTAACATCCGGGCACCCTTCTTCATCCGAATCGGTTTCCTGCATATCTAATTCGTCGGCATCAAAATTGAATTCTGAGTTTATCACACTCGCTGGTTTCAACTTTAACCTCATCGATTGTGCACCATCACCGTTATTTGACTTTATTTTTTCGATATTTTGACTACAGTCGTCTCGCAGCGAAGCGGATATCCCACCACCATCATGTTTATCGATACCCAACAAACATACGCCTTCTGAATTCTCTGCCGGCCGCTGGGCAATCATGGTTTTTTTGGCATTAGCTACAGTAGCCGACGTAGACGCCGAAGTCGGCGTTGGCGCAATTTCTGCCGCTGAGCTCAACCACTGTTGTTGTATTTTATAAACATCGAGTTTAATATCGTCAATGATGCACTCCTCCTCTTCGCCTTCCGCTGTTGCCATGTTCCTTTCATTTGTCGATAACTGAGAGACAGACGGCGCTACCGATGGCGCAGCGGCCGGTTGCGTCGTTCGGCTTTTGTTTGCAGCGCCTTCTAGCTGTTGCGTTGTTGCTGAGGCATGACGTTTTCTTGTGCGTATCATTACTTTTAAATTATTTTGTATTTTCTTTATTTGCCTTAACCAACTTTTTTTTTGTGTGAATAAAAATGTTATATAGCTCGCAAATAATATCACCCCGGCTTGCTATGTTTTCCACACTAAAAGATTGCGAAACGAAATAGATGTATGTTTTAAATTATTTGCGTTTGGTAAGGCTTTTGCATTTTTCTCTTTTATTCTCTACGTTGAGAAGGACAATGGCTGTGCGCTTGAGAATTTCTCTTTCCCGCGACAGTTCTCATGGATAGGCCATTTGACTACCTGCTGCTGTTTTACTGCCGTACCTAAATAAACTTGTTGGCTGTTGTGCCCCTCTGACTGCCTCCTTTTGGCATATACATATGTATAAATTAAATGTGGCAGAAAGAGATAATATGGAAGAGTAGTGCAAGTTATGGTAGACTGTTTTGTGTGGATTTGTATCTTGCCGCTTAAATTGCTATTGCATGTGTAGTTTAATACAACTGCATCTTGATTTTGGTTTATACATAAAAACACATACATATGTATGTATGTATAGATACAGTGGTCGAAAAAATTAAAGGCGCACCAAATATAGACAAGTTTTTCTTTTTATTTAGTTTAGAAATTTTTTATAAGTAGTTCATTCTTTAACAAAAACCATGTAAATCCCAGTTTCAAACTTTGGGCAATGTTAAAAAAAAATCAACAATCTTTCGTAAAAATTTCGAGCTTTTTAATTAAATTTCTTAGAAATATTTTGACTATGCAGTTTTGTAGCCCATTCAATTTTAGTATAATAAAGTGCAACATTCAAATGGCTAAAAATTAGATTTTTTGTAAGTTTTTTCTTTTAACTACACTGTAAAGAAACAAAAATATTACATGAGGTCTTTCTATACTAAACTATCGATATCCGTAATTTTCATAATGTACTTAAGTTAGTTGGGTTGCTCCACGAAGTTTGGTTGCCGTCGTCGATTTCTTGAGTTGATCATGCCAAATCTTAAAGCAGGGCGTTTCGCATAAACCCGGCATTCCCGGACACATTTTACAAGAATACTTTGAATATGTCGTTAGACCACCTTTGCGACAAATCTGGCATCTCTTTTTCGCAACCTTGCCATCGATGGGTGGTAAAATCAGAATAATATGATCGCTTTTCAAATTTGTATTCAGTAATGACTTTATAACTTCTTCTCGAAATTTCTCGTATCGCATAGGAGATTGAATGTTTCTGAAACTCATTTGATTCATGTAGAGTATATAAGCGTTTAACACAATCAAATTTATCACGTAGATCATCAATCGTTTGTCCCACTTCATTTCGTCGCAAGGAAATAACAATTGACAATTCTGCATTTTTAACCGGATATTCAATGGTGGGCACAAAAGCGTCTCCAGCTCTCTCACTACATCCACAAGAGATGATTCCTCAGATTTTTCCCCATTTGCAAAAATGTCTGCACAATTGGTGCTATAAAAATAAAAACTGTTTTCGCGATGTCGATATTTTGCCATCAATACGTCGCCAGCATATCTGGCAACTGCACTTCCTTTGTCTAGCCTTGTTAGTATTAGCTCCTTGCTATTGCCATAACGGTTGCAATCCAAAAATCCTGTGCAATAAGTCTGTCGTTTAGCCAAGGCCGAGGCAAGTGCATAGCTGCTGTAGTATTTAGAAGCATAAACAAAGTGACCTGTCAGAAAAACGTTGCACATAAAGCCATTAATTAACTGTACACTAAGAAAATACATATGTATACACAGTGCAATTAATTGTTCTAATTTTATTACCTTTTCCCAATTTTGACTTTAGTAGATCCATTGCAATTGCCGACCGCTGAAGAGCAAGGGATTTCGAATTACGAGTAAACTGTTTTCGTTCTGACTCCTCTAAATCGGGCACTATTTTTAAAAGCATTCCAGATGGTTCAGTCAAAAAGTGTAGAGTGACTGCGTTACAACGAAACTTGTCCCGCACTTCGTTCAACCAGTTGAATTTGCCTTTCCAGTATATTAGAGGTTCGCCTAAAATTAACCGGCGATCACAGGAGTAAACCGATTCCATGTTCTTGTTGAAGTAGTCCAATAGAGGCTTAATGTCAGAAAGAATGTTTGCTAATTTACCACTCTTAGGGTTACGAGCCGAACTGTAGGACTTCTTAAACATATCAAAATTTAATACATCCAATATCATTCTGAAATGTTCCAAACTCATTTTATCGCCGAACCCGTCAAAGCCAAAGTGATCGGTTTCGCTCCAGTATTGTTCTATCTCAAATAATCTGAATGAACTCATTTGCAAGCAAATTCCAATAAATATTTGCAATTTTTTCGCTGTGAAACTATGAAAACCCGAATTGTTTGCGATTGTTTTTGCAGCACGAGTGCTACAACTATTCGCCAACTTTGTGAAGAACTCTCTCCTCGGCCCAAGCACCATATCAAAATAAGAAATTGGATTTTCAAATATGGAGTCGTCTGTAAGGCTTTCTTGACATTTTCCATTAAAATTAAAAACTTTGCTGGGCTGCATTAAGGCATGGCCCCAAACTGGATCGAATTCATCTACGGATTCATCGGCTGGTTATATGCAAATATAATCAAAAGGAGTATCCGTAATAAGATCAATAAGTGTGTTAGAGGCGATTTTAGATGACAAAGATTCCATGTCATATCAAATATTTAAGCTGAATGGTATGTATTTACCAAATTCTGGCTATTTAAATAAGGGAAAATGCAGCTTTGCCTTTAGCTACCAACTCATGCTGTTTAAATATTTGATATGAAAAGGAATTTTCAAAAAAAAAATTAAATAAAAATTATTCACTTACATTCAATAAGTTGGTAATTGTCATCGAAAAAATCGATATTCGAATACCCATCTTCGTCCGAGTCGCTCTTCTGCATATGCAATTCATCGTTATCGCTATCGTTGTCATCTGCCGCTGCTTTCGTCGTCACTTCTGCAGCTGACGCTGCCACTACCTTTGTTATATTTGGAGGGGGAACTGTCGGGCTTGGCGCTGTCCCCTCATCGTTTTTTGTAGCACTACCACTATAAAGCGCAACTCGTTTGATTTTCGACCGCGGCAGCCGTACTGGACCAGTTGACGTTGTCGCTGCTGCTGATGTTGATGTTGATGGTGTAGTAGTAACCGCAGTCGCGTATGCGCCAACCGTGTAGCCAGCGACGTTGTATTTTGTCTGGTTTATATTGGCAGCTGGTACCATGGTTTCCAAGTTTGTTGGTGTATGCACTACGGTAGCCGCTGCAGTGCCCCTAGCTATAACAAATGGTGGCGCGTCCCTTTCCAGCGTTATTTTAATTGCCTTGGAACTCGTTGGGATTGTTAGTTTTCTTTTAAAAGGCCCTGACATCGCGTTCACTTGTATGAAAAAAAAAAAATCAAAACTTTTGTTATTTCGTTTACCGAACCACTGCGATTGAGTTGGTAGTTGATCAGCAAAAATTGCAAAGTAAATGTATTAGCACTTCACATCAGCGAAATAGATAGCCTAACTTGGCATAGTACATGACAAAAAAGGGATAGAATGATTGTGTGTAGAGGAGCAACCAAATTATTTATTTTCTGTTTATCTCTTTCTAGTTAGTCAACAAGTGTTTTCTGCATCGTTCGTACTTTAGAAAAGAATACCTAACTTTTGTTGCGTTCATATAGATATCTCTGTCGTACGATGCGTTTTTTTAACATATACATACCTATTTCTACTCAAAGCATATTAATGTGCCTTGCTTCTTCTACTCAATTCATCTTGCTTCTACTATTTAAATTTTTGAATTCAAAAGCAGCAAGCCATAAGCAACCCCTGTAGGAAATCCACCAGTGATAAACCGATGCGGCTCTATTGAAAATGGCTCATGCGTTTACGATGTGTGGAATGTGTTTGGACCTGCTAACTGGCGGTGTTGTAATTTTTCAAAACTCATTTTTGTGAAATGTAAATTTTCATTTCAATAGAAAATTAATATTCTAAGGGACATAGGCTTTAAAATTTATCTGACCTTTACACAAGTGTTCTAATAAAAAAATACAGCTCGTTTTACGAAATGAAAATTACATTTTTAAAAAGAGTTTTTTGCATAATCCGGGCCACTGAACATTTAAAAAAAAAAAGCGTAACTCAGGAAAAACATAGGTAACACGTTTTTCGATCGAAAGCTATTATTACAGTTAAATTAGGGTCGAATACTGGTAATCTGACGGTTTTTCCGCAGTAGAAATTTTTTTCAATACTACAACAATACTACTTTTTTATGTACTACATCAACAAGAAAGTTATAACACATCAAAAACTTTTACGCCAATATCTCAGAAAGCAGTTTTAACAGAAGCGCCCTTATTGCATCTAACTTCTCAATTATTGAAGATAAAACAAAGACTAGTTGATTTTCCTGTGTGTTTTTTTTTAATATTTTGAATAGAATTTTAATAAAAAGCAAACACTTTTTTTTGCTAATTTTTACATTCGTAAGTTACTTTATTCTGGGGTCCCACAGATGTACACAAGAACTAGGTGGCTGTGTGAAAATTACGTTAGTATTCTTACGTGGTGGTCAAACCCCAGGAAGGTTTTGCTCCCACGCATCGCAATACTTTCTACACAGAGTTAAAGTCCCCCTTTTTGGTAAAAAATACTATTATTTCGCATTACATTCTGTTCTCCTTAGAAAAATTTGGCGCTAATATATTAGTGGAAATTTTAACCATTTATAAGCCATTTTTCAAACAGTGGGTCAAAAGGGCCCGTTCTGGAGGGAGTTGATGGGTAAAACTTTTGGAAAAAAGTAGGCCAACCTTATTTTCAATATATAATTTATAATTTAACATAACGGTTGATAAGCTTATTGCAAAAATTTATTGATGGCGACATAAATTACCCCGATAACTTAACCTTTAAATTTTTTTATTTCTTTAAATTGAAATAGTACATACTGATTTGTAGAGTATATGGAGATGTATGTATATTAGGGTGCCCATCGAAAATCGTTTTTTTTTTTTGTACGTTAGTACTACATATTTTCAAATTGTGGAAATTATCGATGGTCCAGATTTAAAAGATTCTTTGAAATTCAAGCAAAAATAGTCATTCAAAAACTCATGAATCTAGAAAATCGTATTTTCTGACCTAAATCGACAGGCCGCGACCTCGAAATGGCCTTTAAAAAATCTATAAAAATAGGCAATAATATTTCTCATAAAACGAATCTAATTAGGGGGTAGGGCTTTTAAATTTTCAAAAAAAGCATTTTCGATGGGAAACCTAATGTATGTAGTATATACTATATAGACTTTCTTCTGTTCGCCCATCCATGAGCAGCAGTCACTCAACATTTGAATTCAATGAATAAATTAAATAGAATTATAATCTGATGACATGATGTGGCTCCGACACAGCTCGCAGGTCCAAGACGAAGGCGCTGGACTAATCCTTTTTTAAAAACGTAATGGTAATGGTAACGCATGGGTATTTTTAATGACCAACATTGTCTTAAAAAATGTGTTCGTTTAATACCTAGCGGAAATTCAACATAAGACGCTGAAAAAGTACTGTGGCTGGCGTTTTTGTTACCATAATGATAGATGTATTTAGCTATAGTAGACGTCGCATGCTGCATACTTCTTGTATTCATCGCGTTTCTATATACCAGCAATTGAAACAATGCACCTTTCCTATAGAGTATAGATACTGAAATACCAGGTGTGTGTACATAAATCATGGTCTTTATTCCATGCAATGGGGCTGTCAACGCGTGGAGAGGTCAATTTTACTATTTATTTATATAACATATTTTACATATTTTAAATTATATATGTATGTACGTGTGCATAATTACATAGAGATGCATAAATGACCAAAAAGCGCAGACAATTAATTATTGTTTTTATTTTATTATATTCTAGGTGGGCAATGGTACGGCGTTGACATAACCAAGGAGCACATTGCTGATAACTATGAGCAATGCGTCTGGGAGCCATCGATCATAAAGATAAACGCTTTAACCGCTGCTGCCGAGGCTGCTTGCATGATACTGTCCGTCGATGAGACAATCAAGAGCCCCAAAGCAGGGGAGGCACCCATGGCTGGCGGTATGGGCCGTGGAATGGGAAGGCCAATGTGAACATATTCTAACTAATTACTTTTTAAAAATTTAAATACATATGTGAAAACCGCATAAAAAATCCATTACAAAAAAGCGGATGTTATAACACACCAACTGCTTCAAACAAAAAACTCTATATTGCATTCGGCCCTAATTGTATGTTGTCATGTGCTAACGTTATACCGATTATGTACCCATGTTGGAAATAAACAATCCACTAGATAACACGCTTTTTCTTAATATTGATTGAACTTTTGTTTCAGTGAACTAATTCCATTATTTTTTTTTTTTGTCATTGAATATAAAGAAAACACTTCCTAACATTTACTGTTAAACACAAAAGTATTTACATAGGTACGTAAAGCGCTTTAAATAAAAAGGAAAATTTCAAAATAACAAAAATGTTTCTTAATTTTGCCTATAGCTGCCTTTACACGGGTCGATTTTTGTCGTTCTACCAAAATGTAAATGCTTTGGCTTATTTATTTTTGAGTCGACAGAAATCGACCCGTGTAAAGGCAGCTTACATGCATATAGCTTGTACTATGTATGTATACGTATTTTCAATTATAAGATTGGCAGCTGACTACAAATATACAACTTAGCAGGTGATAGTTTAAACTCGACGTAACCCAGCCAAATTGGGCGTTTGAAACTAGGTTTAAATTTGACTGAAAAACTGGACGCTGGGTTTAAACCTAGCTTAACAACAAGCAGAGTTCAACTTCCACTGAAAAACTGGCCGTCAATAAGGTACAACCAAACTCGCTATCTTCCATCCTTCCTAGCTAACTTTGTTGTTGCTTTCACATGCAAAATTGTTCGCTAAGCGAGCGGGAGAAGTGGCCAATCGATGACGGCTTGTCTCATTCTGCCTCAGCTTGCCAAACACGCGCGCCATGCACTCCCTTTTCCTGTCGCCTTCTCGTTTCATCGAAGTTTGGAGTTGCAGCCCAACGAGTGCTTCTTTTAACACACACTCGCACATACATACATATGTACACATTTGCGATTGGGAATATACCCTGCAAAAATCGCGACTACTCCATGCATGCATGTAAAGAGTACTCCCGAAGAGCCAAGGAGTGCTTCAAAATTAACCACAGTGCATATAAAAATTGTGGTCTAATTAACCTTGCGATGTCCTAGAGCAGGACCATATACTCCATCTCTGCATTACATCAGAGGAGCACAAACCTACTCCCAACATATTTTTTCGTTTGTACACGCTTTTATTCTTCACTTGACAGATGTTTTTTTTCGCAATTAATAAAAACCAAAAACAAAAATAAAAAACTACACATG